AAAACTGGGTCGGGCTTTCTGGGATGGTACTCAAATGGTTCAGGTCATACTTAGAAGGGAGAGGCTATTATGTGAGTATAGGAGAGCATAAGTTTAAGTGGACGTCCATGACATGCGGAGTCCCACAAGGCTCAATTCTTGCACCGCTCTTGTTTAGCCTGTATGTGCTCCCACTAAGTCAAATAATGAGAAAGAACCAAATTTGCTGATGATACCCAGATTTACCTAGCCTTATCTCCAAATGACTACAGCCCCATTGACTCCCTCTGCCAATGCATTGATGAAATTAACAGCTGGATGTGCCAGAACTTCCTTCAGTGAAACAAGGAAAAAACTAAAGTCATTGCATTTGGAAACAAAGATGAAGTTCTCAAGGTGAATGCATACCTTGACTCTAGGGGTTTGACAACTAAAAATCAAGTCAGGAATCTTGGTGTGATTCTGGAGACAGACCTTAGTTTCAGTAGTCATGTCAAAGCAGTAACTAAATCAGCATACTATCATCTAAAAAACATTGCAAGAATTAGATGTTTTGTTTCCAGTCAAGACTTGGAGAAACTTGTTCATGCCTTTATCGCCAGCAGGGTGGACTATTGTAATGGTCTCCTCACCGGCCTTCCCAAAAAGACCATTAGACAGCTGCAGCTCATCCAGAACGCTGCTGCCAGAATTCTGACTAGAACCAGAAAATCTGAGCATATCACACCAGTCCTCAGGTCCTTACACTGGCTTCCAGTTATATTTAGGATTGATTTTAAAGCACTTTTACTAGTTTATAAATCACTCAATGGCCTAGGACCTAAATACATAGCAGATATGCTCACTGAATATAAACCTAACAGACCACTCAGATCATTAGGATCGAGTCAGTTAGAAATACCAAGGGTTCACACAAAACAAGGGGAGTCCGCTTTTAGTTATTATGCCGCCCGCAGTTAGAATCAGCTTCCAGAAGAGATCAGATGTGCTAAAACGTTAGTCACATTTAAATGCAGACTCATCTGTTTAGCTGTGCATTTAGTGAATGAGCACTGTGCATTGTCCGAACTGATTGCACTATATTTTATGTATAATCATTTTCTATTCTTAACTGTTTTAAATTCATTTTAAACCTCTTAAATCAATTTTTAAATCATTTTCAAAGTTTTAAATGCCTTGTTTTATTGTTGTGATTATTTTATTTTGTGATTATACATTTCTTTTATGTAAAGCACTTTGAATTACCATTGTGTATGAAATGTGCTATATAAATAAACTTGCCTTGCCTTGCCTTACATCACGTGGATGGCCGTGTGCGTCACTTACCTACATGGCACCAGGATGCACTATGGGAAGAAGGCAAGCCGGCGGAGGCAGTGTGATGCTTTGGGCAATGTTCTGCTGGGAAACCTTGGGTCCTGCCATCCATGTGGATGTTTCTTTGACACGTACCACATCCCTAAGCGTTGTTACAGACCATGTACACCTTTTCATGGAAACGGTATTCCCTGGTGGCTGTGGCCTCTTTCAGCAGGATAATGCCCCCTGCCATAAAGCAAAAATGATTCAGGAATGGTTTGAGGAGCACAACAACAAGTTTGAGGTGTTGACTCCAAATTTCCCAGATCTCAATCCAATCGAGAATCTGTGGGATGTGCTGAACAAACCAATGCGATCCATGGAGCCCCCACCTCGCAACTTACAGGACTTTAAAAAATCTGCTGCTAACATCTTGGTGCCAAAAACCACAGCACACCTTCAGGGGTCTAGTGGAGTCCATGCCTCCGTGGGTCAAGGCTGTTTTGGCAGCAAAAGGGGGACCAACACAATATTAGGAAGGTGGTAATAATGTAAAGCCTACATTAGGGGGGGTTATATATATATATATATATATATATACAGTGGGG